AATTAGCCGGAAAATTGACAGGCTCAAACAAAACAAAAAAAAAAAAAAAAAAAAAAGTACTGGGCGGCTAACATTACCCTCTGAGTAATACTCAACCCATGAGTATTTTAAAAAAACAGTATGACTGCTCAATAACCCTCAGTGCAATACCAGTAAATATACCTTGTACATACAGATCCGTCAAACGCATCTAGACTGTGTGAGACCTTTAAGTACTGTATTTTTTTTATCTCTTTTCCTAATGCACATTCCTTTCGCTTGTTTGCACATTACTTACTTTCAGCCTTATATTGTTTACCTGCCCATTTCTTACATAAGGACGTACATGCACACCGAGAGCAGCCAGAGTCAAATCCTCATGTGTGCACACAAAATTTTCTTGCTAGCAAAGGTTTGCTAAACGTCCTACATTAGCATTCGGCTAACGATAAAGTATCCCACCTGGAATAGAAAACATACATATGGACAACTGTGTTAACAGCCAAGCACCTGTGCGCTGCCTACATACAGAACGCAACACATGAAATGTCTACTGTGATTTTCTACAATCTTCTAATGCACCCACGTGAGTACCAGAATGGCTCTCGCTGTCTTGCGCCTCAAAACTCCACCACAACCAAACTTACAGAATGGCCACCGGAAACTAATTTATAGAACCCAGCTACCACACTGATTGGACAATTTCACTCTGCTCTGTGATTGGACTGTCACTGTCCAATCAGAATCTTCTTCTTCTGTTGGTTAATGGCGCTTAGCAAACAGCTTTAGGTGCATTGCCGTCACCTTCCAGACTGGAGTGTGGATCAGAACGGCACCTACCTATTACCAGTGACGTGCGGTGAGGTTGACAGCTGGTGAGGCACTAACTCTTTTACAGTCAGATTTACAAATACAAATTGTCTGTTAACAGACAATGCGTTATGTTTTATATCTCATATCAGCATTCTTCACACAAACGTGACCCATATTTAATTTGAGGTTAAAATTTATTCCAGTTGAGCTTATTTCTAACTAGAAATAATAAAAGTTTATGGTCTTACCTTTACTTGTACACGAAATCCATTTGTCAGCTGGTATGTATTACAAACCCTTTTACCGTTCGAATCCAATATTAAAACAAATGTTTTCAATAAAGAAGATCCTTCTGGACAAAAATGTCCAGACTGTCAAAAATGTTTTGATTGAAAGTCCAGATTTGCGAATTTTCTCAGCTTGGAAATGTAATCTTCCATTTTGATAAGGCGGATTGTAAAGGAAATATAAACAAGCACGAAAAAGATTGTAGGTAGCGCAAGAATCTGTGGGCTCACTAGCGCCCTCTGCCTTGAGGCAGGCGTACTGTTTGCCTCACCGAGTAACTTTTTTACTGGGTTTTATGGTTAATCTGCGAGCATAGACACGTTACACAACTACATTTTATACATTATCCAGATTATGGCAAGGCAGAGCATATAATCAGAGTGTTTGAAAGCATTTTATTTGCGATATATAGAGGGACAGTGACACACTATTTGCATCGCATCCAGTTTGTGAGGATTACACGGTCCACCGAGAGGCACAGCAAAGTGCTGCCTCATCGCACATCTCCTCCATGTATTTGAACGGGACATACGGGAATTCTGCTATTCTTTCTTGAAAAAAAAATCCTTCAACATTGGATTCGAACGGCAAAAGGACCTACAACACACACCAGCCGGCAAATATTAACATTTATTATATTTTATGGTTAACTTTTTTTCTTTTCAAGATTGACAGGGGAGGCTCTGCCTCACCTGCCTCTCCTGACCGCACGTCACTACCTACTACTATAACAAAATAACCTCTCAGTTCACATCTTGTTTAACGATGTGCTCTCAAAAAACCTAGTAAGTGCTCTGTATCCTATATCCCCTGATCTTTGTACAGTTAGATTGAGGTGTGATTCACACTAAACCTCAGTACTCCTAAATAGTTATATGTGCAATTTGTGTTCTGTCTGTACACACATGTTCACAAACACACTTATTTTCAGTGTCTTTGTGTAACATAATTTGTTTACATATTTTATTCATACGTTCAAAAATGTTTTTACGTACAAATCTTTCCTAAACATGCTCACAAAAATTGTGACCATGTACATACATTGCTATTTGTACCATTAAATTGCCATTAATTTGACTAGGAGGTTGTAATGGGTCACACTTGTTAAGATTGGTGTAATGCTGTTTGCCATCACTAAAGGGCAACCTTACTGTGCACTGAGGAGTAAGTTAGAGTAAGAAGTTAACATTCAGAATTTTTACAATGCCTACATAAAGAAGCTAACACATTGTCTAAACATATTTAATACAACTTATGACAAGATAAAATGAAATATGATTCAGTGACATTTGCTTTATGAGGTCAACACTGCTTTCAGGTTCTGTCCTTATGGCTTCCAAATCATTCCTTCCAGACATTCGTACCATCATCCATCAGATTTGTTAGGTCAAAGTGTTTATGAATAACTGGTAATCACTGGATCATTAAAATAAGACATCATTGTTTCTGAGGTCATGCACTAGTAAAATCATTCAACTTTTACTTAGAGAAAAGCTGTTTAATTTGACTTTTTTATTTTTTACCTGAGTGCACATTCATCATCTTGGATAAGCAGCAATGGGCAGATCCCAGTATAGGCAATCCTTAAACAGATGTCCTTCCGTGACCAGTCATGTGACTACAAGAGAAGTCTTCACAACTGCTGTCCAGGCACATGCAGTGTAACAGCATGGAAAAAATGTGAGGTACTCTGCTTTGACCCCACCGGTATGGATTTCCCATCCTAGCCAGATCATTAAAAACCTGGTTTTATGATGGTGCTGTCTTCAGGCCATGTTTACCATTTTCAGCCTTGTTCTGATGTTTCTCTTTTCAACAAAGCTATTATAACTAACTTTCTGGTTCTGCTTTTAATATCCAAGATGTGAGGCACTGGTTCAGGTCCTAGGCTTTTACTAGATGCAGTGAAGAACCAAGACCTGAACTAGCACGCTTTAAAAAAGTCAACATGGTGGAAGTGCTTTATTTTTAAGGCCCTTTGACTTTCAGCCTTGTTCTGGGCCCTGTTTTTATTTATTCTTCAATAAAGTCATTACAACTCAAACCTTCTTGTAATCTTTTAATAAAGATAAAAGGCACTGCTTCACTTGACTGTACTCCATGATCCACATCTGGAAAAACGGAACCTCTGAAACAGAAAACTGATTAAGCCACAAGTTTATACAAAAATTGTTGCCAGGGTCCTCATGAGTAGGTGACAGGACTGAGTCTTCCCTTCAGTGAAGGGTTGCTCCATCTTACACTGTCGTTACAGACTGGAGGCTGTGGGAGAAAATAGACAAAAGATGAAAAAATAGTTTCCAACTGTGGAGGACTGAAGCATGCAATCAAATCAAGATGCAAGTGTTTAAGTAGACAAATATTAAATTCTACAAGGTTGTATGAAAATTGTCAACTTTAAATGACTTAAAAGCCGAGTTACTACTATCAAGCCTAATTTAGAGAACAGTTTAACCTACTGCTATAGCTAAGTGCACAGATGTTACCAAGACTGCACAGAGTACCTGGATGTAAAGTTAGGCTTCTCTGCAGCATCAAGGAAGAACTCCAGAGCCATGGATGCCTTGTTTCTGGCCATTTGGAGGATCAGGACCAGTGACAACAGAGTTAACACAATCAGCTTATTCAAAGTTGCTTACAAGTTGATCCACAGTGAATTTAAAAGATGTTTCTATTTGCCAGATGTACTATCAATTTGCTGTGATTCACTTGAGAGCAATGGTCAGTCACTATGTTATGACAATGTTTGCCATGAACATTACAGATACAACACAAAGTTTTTACTAAAGCAATACACAATTACATTGTGCTGCATGTTATAAAAATTTGAGAATTTTCATTACAATTTGTGTGCAGGCTGCAATGACACAGTGCTCAAGTAGGACATCTTGTGTGTAATAAGATAAAGTGCAACTGAGACATGTCATTAATTGGTTCATGGATTGTTTGGGATTTGATTTTGCATGTATTATTTTTCCTGCTCCACCACAGGTCGATTCTCTTACTAATGATGAACACGGCACAAGACTGAATTGCAGAAAAATGGATGGTGATTCAAGAGGTGTGGAAATGTTCAACTTCTACACAGTGATTTTTACCTTCTGTCTTCCCACTCGAAACCTTGTGAAAGATGGGATCAGATGCTCACTGTAGTGCATCATCATGCGTGTCACCTCCTTCCCAATGCCCGTGCCTCTGTAACTGGGCTCTGTAGAAAACAAGGGGAATATAGTGTCCAGATATAAAGAGATATACACAGGAAACGATTGAGATGTACAAACCACAGCAAAGCCTGAATGTAGATATTTGCTCAGCCTTTGATTTTGAATCATTTTAAGATAAGCACACTGGGCATCACCTGCTATCATGATCTCCAGCTCAGCCGAGGAGAGGTCTGTTGGGTCCATCAGGAACATGTTGAAATCTCCCACCATGCACTGCTCCTCTTCTATACAGGGATCTGCCCACTGCTGCTTATCCAAGATGATGAATGTGCACTC